CCCCCGAACCATCCCAAATCCTTATCCTGACCCCTTTCCAGTGCTATATAGTCGTAATGGCTTGGCGCTTTCCCCCTGGTAAATTCCTCCCTCCCCTTCACGTAGAAGTTAACAGGCATATATAGTCCACGGTGATATATAATTCTATATAGTCTACAGTATATATAGTTCCTCTAATTCTTATCTTCTGTCTATATCATTAATCATTTCCACGTCAACAAATCACTAAGAAAACTAGGTTCCATTGTGAAGCTTTTCTGTTATTTTTCATTTATCTCTTATCTCGTCTTATCAGTTTCCACGAATCCTTCTTTTCTCTTACTCAGTAGGATTATCTTCTTATTCTCGGCCATCGTTCTCGTTACTGTGCTGAAGCTTGGGTTCTTCTTTGGTGTTGGGAGCTATGTTGTTTTCATAATCTCTTGAGAGAGAGAGGGAGACAGAGAGAGAGAGAGAGAGAGAGAGAGAGAGAGAGAGAGAGAGAGAGAGAGAGAGAGAGAGAGAGAGAGAGAGAGAGAGAGAGAGAGAGATTGAGAGAGAGAGAGATTGAGAGAGAGAGAGAGAGAGAGAGAGAGAGAGATTGAGAGAGAGAGAGAGAGATTGAGAGAGAGAGAGAGATTGAGAGAGAGAGAGAGAGATTGAGAGAGAGAGAGAGAGATTGAGAGAGAGAGAGAGATTGAGAGAGAGAGAGAGATTGAGAGAGAGAGAGAGATTGAGAGAGAGAGAGAGATTGAGAGAGAGAGAGAGATTGAGAGAGATTGAGAGATTGAGAGAGATTGAGAGATTGAGAGAGATTGAGAGATTGAGAGAGATTGAGAGATTGAGAGAGATTGAGAGATTGAGAGAGATTGAGAGAGATTGAGAGAGATTGAGAGAGATTGAGAGAGATTGAGAGATTGAGAGAGATTGAGAGAGATTGAGAGAGATTGAGAGAGATTGAGAGAGATTGAGAGAGATTGAGAGAGATTGAGAGAGATTGAGAGAGAGAGTAGGAGATAAAAAGAGGAAGAGAGAAGCATTAATCCCATAAATACCCTAAAACAAAAAACAAAAATATATGCTTAAATATTGCAAATTTAAACCCAGAACTAAATCAGATAATACAGCTCAAGCTTGGAAATAAATGTAACATATCAGCAAAATCTTTAAAAGATGCTCAACAAATCCACTAGGGCCGTGATGAGGGTTCGAACCTACGTACGGGATGTTCCTTGTCGATTTGTTCATTTGATATTATTGGGATTTTTGTGTGTATGTTCTTTCTTATGTTCACCAGGATAACGATTTCACTTCCTAGCAAGAGTGTCAATAGTTGTGTCAATGTCCTAGACAATATTTGAGATGTTGGTGCTTATGCAGTCCGTCCTCCAAAAATGGGGTGGTAAATGTAAGGAGACAAATAAGTGCAATTATGTACTATTCATAGCAGTTAGAAATTGTACTTATTTTCACTTAGTATTAAATCGTACTGTTAGATATATTGTGAATATTTGAGTTTACCCAAAAAACTGAATAGAAAACCACAACCTCACCTAACCGTCTTAGTTTTTGAAGATAATAATTTTATTGCTTCTTAATTACAATTAGTACTTAACCTATAGCTATATTGATATTACAGTTTTATAAAACTAATAAAACAAAACTAAAATATATCAATAAATTGTAAAGTAACTAAGGATATTTTAAAATTTTGTATAAAATCTATATTGTTTAATAAACCTGAAAAAGAAATTCCTGATATTTAAAACTTGTGTATTGCTAATTGGAATTGAAAACGTCATCCTAAAATTCTGAGTGTGTTAACAGAAAACGAGGAGAATTAAATCGGGGGAGGGAGTTGGGTGAATGTAACAGCCCCATAAGTACAATTATGCACTGGTTATGACAGTACGAAAGTGTACTTATTACACTTAGTATTAAATCGTACTGTCAATTCGGAGGATGGGTTGTGCTTATGTGTGTGTGTGTGTCTCTCTCTCTCTCTTTCTCTCTCTCTCTCTCTCTCTCTCTCTCTCTCTCTCTCTCTCTCTCTCTCTCTCTCTCTCTCTCTCTCTCTCTCTTTCTTTCTCTTTCTCTCCCCTCGTCTCCTACCGTTACCTCACCTCCCCCTCACCTTCCCTCAGTTTCCCTCCACAGCACTAGTCTTTTGTTATCTATCAAAACACTGTGACGAGGGAAACTGAGGCATCTCGCCCTCCAGTGAACCGGGGCTGGACCTGAACCGGGGCTGGACCTGAACCGGGGCTGGACCTGAACCGGGGCTGGACCTGAACCGGGGCTGGACCTGAACCGGGGCTGGACCTGAACCGAGGCTGAACCTGAACAGGTACGAACCTCAACCCGGTACTGTTGCTTAAAAAGACGAAGTCTCCTGATCTCCCAGTGAACTGGAATGGATCATGTTCTGTACCGTTACCCTCCAATGTACTGTTATTTAGGTACGAGCTGGGAGCCTAAGGGCTAACATGAGTTGTCTTGTACCGAGAATTGGTGCCATTTATCTCTGCCCTTCGGAGGGAATGTATCTGAGAGAGCGAGAGAGATAGAGAGAGAGAGAGAGAGATAAAGTAGGAACACACACAGTATGACGTTGTAAGAGGATGAATTTGCAATATATATTACAATGCCCCTGAATGCCCCTGTTACCTAGCAGTAAATAGGTACCTGGGTGTTAGTCAGCTGCCACGGGCTGCTTCCTGGGGGTGGAGGCCTGGTCGAGGACCGGGCCGCGGGGACACTAAAAGCCCCGAAATCATCTCAAGATAACCTCAAGATACATTTAAACACACATACAGACTAAAAATCAGTGAAATAATCCAGAAAAATGGGTAGAGAGGTTAGGTTAGGTTAGGTTAGGTTAGGTTACTTCTGGTTATCCTGGGAAGGTTAGGTTAGGTTAGGTTAGGTTAGGTTAGGTTACTTCTGGTTATCCTGGGAAGGTTAGGTTAGGTTAGGTTAGGTTAGGTTACTTCACTTCTGGTTATCCTGGGAAGGTTAGGTTAGGTTAGGTTAGGTTAGGTTAGGTTAGGTTACTTCTGGTTATCCTGGGAAGGACAATTCACATTTTATTTTGGGTAATTTCAGGTCGTCTTTGAGCTTTGCAAATGGAGAAAGTTTTGAGAGTTGGAAGAGAGAAACAGTTCCAGACTGACCCCTTGGGGACGGGTGTAGCTCTGTAAGCACTCTGTTTTCCCTGTCATATGATTCCTTGAAAGCTTTCTTGCTTGTTTGGTTCCATGTCTTGCTTCTCCCTTGAGTTTCTGTGCGCTCTGCTGTTTGCTTTTATTTTTTTTTTTTATTTGACGGTTGTACGCGAACGTACAGACAAGTTTTTTGGCATGAAGGGTTAAGGTGTCATAGTGTTTGATGGGTGTGTACTTGGTGAGTTGTTCTTTCAGTTCCAGTTCCTGTAAAACTCTCCTGTTTATGTGTACTCTGATGTTTACCGGGTCGGAGCAAGTAGCACGGGCTATGGTGAGCCCGTAGTGGACTTACCTGGCACAGGAGCGGGGCAAGTAGCACGGGCTATGGTGAGCCCGTAGTGGACTTACCTGGCACAGGATCGGGGCAAGTAGCACGGGGTATGGTGAGCCCGTAGTGGACTTACCTGGCACAGGAGCGGGGCAAGTAGCACGGGCTATGGTGAGCCCGTAGTGGACTTACCTGGCACAGGAGCGGGGCAAGTAGCACGGGCTATGGTGAGCCTGTAGTGGACTTACCTGGCACAGGAGCGGGGCAAGTAGCACGGGCTATGGTGAACCCGTAGTGGATGTACCTGTTGCAACGTTTCTAGAGACACTAAATAAATTGTTAGGAAATGAGAATGAGTGATATATAGCATATTTCAGCAAGTATTGAGGGTGGAATTAAATAATTAGTAAAGAAAACGGGAATAGACCCAGCTTGATATATTGAAGGGGGGCCTCTCTTATATTATCTTGAACTTGGTCTCCTCGAAGACTTTTCCACGTATTTACATCTCAACCTCTGAGGAAGTATCTTTGATGTCGTTGTGATAACCTTGTGTCTTGTTCTTATCTGTAGCCACTCGTATTATAATCATTATTATTTTGTGAAGATGATAGTCACCTATTTGTGCTTGTTGAGCTTCGGCTCTTTGGACCCGCCTCTCAACTGTCAATCAACCGGTGTAGAGGTGAGGATTCCTGGTGGAGGGGGGGGGGGGTGGGGTTGAAGGAAGGAATTATCAGGGGGAAGCACCAAGCCATCACGACTATATAGCACTGGGAAGGGGTCAGGAAAAGGATTTGGGATGGGACGGGGGGAAAGGAATGGTGCCCAACTTCTTGGATGGTTGGGAATTGAACGCCGACCTGCATGAAGCCAGACCGTCGCTCTACCGTCCAGCCCAGGTGGTTGGACAAGTGGCTTATAGCGAAGTAGTCCGTTGCTCTGAATTTCCACGAGTCGTTTCGGGTGCGTCGATTCAGTTGTTCCCGAGAGAGTAGTTAACTGAGTTACTGAGTTTGGTTAGTTAACTGAGTAGTTAACTAACCAAAATTTATTGACAGTAAAGCAGAGGTCACAGTGGGTAAGTGGGAGGGGCTATTACCTGTACTCACCTAGTTTACTCACCTAGTTTACTCACCTAGTTGTGCTTGTGGGGGTTGAGCTTTGTCTCTTTGGTCCCGCCTCGTTCCTTTGTTCATGTCTAAAATTTTCAAATTGAATTTTGACAAATTACTCTGACATTCATTACTCATTCATAGTAATTTTGACCAATTATTCTGACATTCATTACTCATTCATAGTAATTTTGACCAATTATTCTGACATTCATTACTCATTCATAGTAATTTTGACCAATTACTCTGACATTCATTACTCATTCATAGTAATTTTGACCAATTACTCTGACATTCATTACTCATTCATAGTAATTTTGACAAATTACTATGAATGAAGGTAATGAATGAATATTCTTAATATGGCTAATGAAAAATTCAAATATTTCTGAAAATTTTATTATCAACTTGTACAAATATATTTCATATCAAAAATGTATCATAATGTCTCGATAAAAGTATATACAATTGGGTCGATAAAATCTATTATACATTATATACATGAATGTTTAGTAACCCGTAAATCATTTTAAACCATAGCATTTCCTTCTTAAACCAAGCCTTACCATCTTGAAATTCACATCCATCTTATTGTACAAAATTAAGGACTAAAGTTTCAATATATTCCTTTCGTATACAGAACACTTATATACAAAAACAAATCTATAATGAAGTCAATCTATCATAATATATATTAGAAAAAATTGAACACGTATTGGTGAAATATATAAACATTTCTTATTATGGGAGAAATAAGATGTTTATACTTAAAATATACATCAGTTGTTGCCTGAGTAATGTAGTTTGATGTTACCATTTAGGATGTAGTAACTACATCCTAAATGTAGTAAATACAATCCAGCAGAGATGGGGCCAAAAATCCTGGCAGCGATACGACTAACGTACCCTAATGAGAAGTCTTACGATATCTGACGTTAACTCGTTGTATATTTAACGTCAAAGGCATAAAATATACACCAGGATGTATATTGAACATGTATATTGCAAACTCTGAATACTGAACTTTTATGCAACAATCACACTGAATTTATATTTTGAAGATTGGTAGGAAAAAAAAGACATTTTTTTAATGCAAGATGATTGTAAAACTGAGAATTTTGGACTCTTTGGAACTGCAAGTTTGAAAGTACAATTGGATATATAACATTTATTTAAAAAAACGGGGCCCAAAATTTTGCCAACTCCATCATGGTATCAGTTCCATTGTTCTTAACTAGCATGAACAAAATGTTTCGCTATGGAAATAGAATTGTGTTCACGAATAGTGGGTTTAGATTCCTCCTCCTAGACTGTGTTCTTCAATGTGTTCTTCTTGCTATCTGCCTGAAGCTGTTCTTGCTATCCCTTGTGTTCTCTTGCTATCTGTGTCTGCCCTTGTTGTTCTTTGTTCTCTTGTTGCCCTATGTGTTCTGTTGCCCTATGTGTTCTGTTGCCCTATGTGTTCTGTTGCCCATGTGTTCTCTTGTTCATGTGTTCTCTTGTTCATGTGTTCTCCTGGTGCCTATGTGACATTTGATGTTAATTACCACAAAGGTTGTTAATTGGCCTGCCTGTTCTGCACACCTTGCTGATGGCTCGTTTGAATTGGGATTGACGTCATTGCCGGTGACATCACTGCTAATTATACTTCTGACTGGAGAGTGGCTTCTACCGTCTGACATCCTTGCTCATTGACTTCACTGATGACTTCACTGTTGACTTCACCGTTGAACTCACTGTTGACTTCACCGTTGAACTCACTGTTGACTTCTCTCTTGACTGACTTCAATCCTGACAGACTTCACTGCCTATAGCTGACTTGATTTGCCAGCTGCAAAACAAGTTTGTAATGACCTAATTATAAAAAATCCATAGTTGACACTAATTGCCGTAATAACACGAGTACAACAAAGTAGTTATGACAGCAATAATAACTGTAGTTGTAGGTTGTATCAATTGTAGCAATTAGCGTTTATCATAGTTACTTAAAGAGGTAATTAGACAGGGGAGGTACAGCAGTGACGTTATTAGTGGTTACTGTATTTATGATATTAATACATCAATGGATGTATTAGAGTATTGACTGTAGATGTAGTAGTAGTAAGAATATCAGCTGTAGTCGTAGTAGCAAAGTAGTATTATCATTAATAAAGATACTAACATAATTAATATAAGTAGGTTTAGTCTTAATATTCCTCATAAGTAGTCCTAAGTAGCTATAAGTAGTAGTAAGTAGCCTACTTAACACCCTGAGTATATGCTTAAGTACTGCAGGCACTTTATTGGCTTAGCAATAGGGGCCAGATTCACGAAGCAGTTACGCAAGCATTTACGAACCTGGGGCTAGATTCACGAAGCAGTTACGCAAGTACTTACGAACGTGTACATCTTTCCTCAATCTTTGACGGCTTTGTTTACATTTATTAAACAGTTTACAAGCGTGAAAACTTGCCAATCAACTGTTGTTATTGTTATAAACAGCCTCCTGGTGCTTCGGAGCTCATTAACTGTTTAATAATTGTAAACAAAGCCGCCAAAGATTGAGAAAAGATTGACAGGTCTGTAAGTGCTTGTGTAACTGCTTCGTGAATCTGCCCCCAGGTTCGTAAGTGCTTGCGTAACTGCTTCGTGAATCTGCCCCCAGGTTCGTAAGTGCTTG